CCCCAAAACCCCAAAACCCCAAAACCCCAAAACCCCAACTCCCAAAATTATTATTGATTTAATAAAATGGAGGATATTTTACAAAAACTTCATGATTGCTTTAAAGACAAGCTTAACCCAGTAACAGTCCCTGCTGCTAGAGGTACACATTGCCTGAGTGCCCCCACTCACCTTAATTTGGAAAACAATACTCATGAGGAAGATAAAGAGGTATGGAAGCTGTATAATTTTAGGAGCATAAGAATGGCTCAATAAACACTTCAATGGGTCCAAAATCTTCTGAACAGGAGGAGTACCAGAGCGTCTTAAAGGTAAATATATTTCCGAAACACCTAATTTTTATGAATATTTTAACTTTCAAACAGCCTGGACAAACGATGCTCTGGATAATCAGCATTTAGGTCCAAGGATGATAGTCAAGGTTAAACTCGACCAGGCCTTAACATACCAACAGTGGCTGGATGATAAGGTAGGGTAAAGGTTCAATCATAGGAAACCCCCTTCGTGTTTACAATGCTGGAGCCCCTGGCTTTCTGTTACAAGAAAAAGAGAAAGTAAGTTTTATGTTGGAACTAGTATATAGAGATCGCTCATCAAGAGATCAGAGTACTATTTCTTATCTAACTTCTCCTATCATCTATAGATAGCCCCAAGGATGAATTCTATGAAACTAAAGATGCACTGAGAGGAATAAAGTAAATTCTACCCCTCATCCTTTAGCTTGGCTGATTTCAAGATAAACTGCTACTTTAAGTACCCTGAGCATATGTCAAAATTCAAATACAACCTGATGAGCAACTTACCAGAGAAGAAAAGAGATCAGAAGTCGCTCTCCAAGCAAACAGACTCAGAGTTAGCTGGAAGGTAAGAATCACGATAATCTTGTAGCCAAGAAATCTACTGTGCTGCTAAGATCTACAGTAATTCGTTCCACGATCAAGATTCCCCGGACTCATCTGCTAAGAGTAAATCCTGACTAATTATTATAGTCTACATTACGCTACAAAACTCTAAAATTGCTGGTCTGAAGCAACTCCATTTCTCAGATCCTGAGACTAAGACAGCACAGTATACCAGATTAGGGATGCTAGAAGGCATTGGCTCTGTGATTCCACTGCATAGACCTCCCATGGTCACATACCTCACCAACTGTTCTTGGCTGGCTCCTCCAGAAGTAGTGAAATTTGTAAGTCAGCCTGTCTAAAAATAGCCCCAAAACGCACTAAAAAGAATTAGAGGGATCCAAAATCTTGATTTTGAGGAGGAAACTGGCAAGAACTCTGAAATTCCTGAGAACCAAGAACCTGCAAAACCAAAATCGAAGCCAGCACCAAAGCCTGAGATTGACTACAACAAGTATGAATTCTAAGATTTCAACGGGGAATTGTCTTAATGGGGTTTTGGGGTTTTGGGGTTTTGGGGTTTTGGGG